CCCGTGTATCCCCTAGTAAGTTCTCTTTTCAGTCGGTAAATCTGTATTCGTGGACATCTGCAGCTCACATCTGGGAGGGGCACTTAGGGAGAAGTTAAGTATACAAGAGCAGGACCTGACATCTCCGAGACTCTCTTCGTCTCTGCCTGACTGCAGACAGGCTGTAGCTACATTGTGGGGAAAGATGGGGAACGTGATCATCTGCGGCCCAAACTCAGGTCTGGAAAGAGAACTTCTTCCTCTCAACATCAGCATCCATTTCCTAGAAGGGACTAGAAGGATCCATTGGTCCTCCTGCCCAGTCTTGAGTTACCATGTCTGTTTTTGCCGTGTCGTTTAGATAGAGTCTCCCTATATAGCTCTGGCTGTTATGGAATTCAGTATAGACCAGGGTTGTCTTGAACTCTGTGGTCTGCCTGCTCTGATTCCCAAGTGCTGCAATTGTAGGTATGCACCGCCCGCTGTGTGCGTGTGTGTGTGTGTGTGTGTGTGTGTGTGTGTGTGAGAGAGAGAGAGAGAGAGAGAGAGAGTGGGTGTGTGTGCATTTGTACTTAGTTACCAAGAAGAGAAGGACAGTAGCATAGGCCAACAAAACAATAATGACTCTACATCTGCCACGCCTAAAGGTTCTATGTGTTTGTGAGCATGTTGAGGCTGGTGGGGTCATGAGTGGAGCAGAGCCTCTGAAAATGGGGTACACAGATTATCACAACCAGACTTTGCTTACTCGTCGCTATGGTTATTACTAGGTACCACTCATTTGGCAGATGCACATATCAGCCTATGCTTTCCCTTCTCACGAGAACCCTAAACATTCACAGTTTTCTTTATCCTCTTTTTAAGTCCCCCCCCCCACATAAAGTGTGTAAAGCTGAGGGTGGCCTCAAACCCAAGACTCTCCTGCCTTCACCTTCTGAGCTCTGGAATCATAGGTGTTTGTCTCCACATGCAGTCTCACTGACTCATTTTCAAAATGAGGAGGGCTGAGGGTATGGCTCAGGGGTACTAGGTTCACCTAAGCATGCACTAGCCCTAGGTTGGCTTCTCATAACTGCATGGCAAACAAACCAACCAACTCAACACAATCTACACTCTAACTGGGAAATCTCAACTGCTCGGGAGGACCAGGGCAGGAGGAGAACAAATTCAAAACACAGCCTGGGCGATATAACAAGAGTGTATCTCAGCTGAGTGGTGGTGGTGTGTGCACACCTTTAATCCCAGCACTCTGGAGGCAGTGACAGGTGGCTCTCTGTGAGTTTGAGGCCAGCCTGGTCCACAGAGTGAGTCCTAGGACAGCCAGGTCTATACAGAGAAACCCTGTCTCAAAAAAAACAAAAGCAAAACCTCATTTCAACAACTCTTGGTGTTAGTGTCTGTTTAGCATGTGCAAGTCCCTAGGTTTGAACCCTAGAACAAGCAACGAGAGAGGGGAGCGGGGGAGAGGATACACAGACGGTGACTGGCCCAGTCAGGATCAAACTCGATTCTTCTGTACACGCATCTCTCTCAAGTCTGGCACCGTGGATGAGCTGCAAGCCTGAGATGGCTAACTGAGATCACAGGGGAGCCCAGCAGACGGGGTTTGGCCTGGGCTGTAGCTTTCACATCCTTTCCAACTGCATACTTCCTGGGCTTCCCTTGTCTTTCCGGTCCTCAGTGACAGATTTGCATCTGTCACGCACAGCATTTCTCGAGGACTTGTTCTCTTGGGTGGTGATCCTGCCTGGAATTTTCTAGTCTGGCTTGTTCACCAGAGGAAATGTGGCTGGAGTTCCTGACAGGGCCATGTCATGGAAAATCAAGGCGACCATGTCACTAGACTTAGCGAACCTCCAGCTTCCAGCTCTCTCTTGTCTATACCAGCTAGCTGATCACTGCCCTGGGACGGCTTCCCCTACACCTGCCCCTGCTCATACCCTCAGTGCTCACGCTCCTTAGAGACCTCCCAGGTTCTTCCAGCTCTGTCCCTGCCATCTTTTATTCTTTCACATTTGAAAGGCAAAAGGTCTGAAAAGTATGATTGCCTGCCATGGCTGTAAACACTTACAGGACTCAAAAGTCGTTAACTACTGGCTAGCAGTATAGCTCAGTTGGTAGAGTGCCTAACATTTATGAAGCCCTGTGTTCAGTCCCCAGTGAGGAACGCGCTGGGCATGTCGATCATCTCAGCACTCGAGAGGCTGAGTCAGAAGAGTCAGGAGTTCAAGGCCATCCTTGGGTATGGAGCAAGTTTATTGCTGACATGAAACCCTGTCTCAAAGAAAACAAAACAAACAAAAAACCCCAAATCTAATAAAAGCGTTCTCTTTATTAGACAATCTTGGCTCGGACTTTCATCTTAAAAGAAGTCCAGATTGTCAGCTTAGAGGATCGGGGTTAGGCTTAGTGAGTGGATTTTTCAACAAGCACCTGTCACCAACAGTGCTCAGAGTCCTGACTACAGGCATTGGGCAGGGGCTGAAAAGACTAAGTGGGGGGGGGGGAGGTGAGAAGGGAGAGGAGAAGGCCTGGGTGGGTTGGGTCCCTGAAAAAAAGACACCTGGACACACAGCTGTCAGCTGAGGAGGTGACAGGCCAGTTCTGGTCCATGCTCTTTGCTTTTCTCTTTCGCATTTGGGTTATTTGGTGGGAGCGGTAATTGCACACACATGGAGGTCAGAGGTTAATTTAGCAAAGGTTGTTGTCTCTGCCCACCCTATGGGTTCCACAGTCATCAAACTCGGCAGAGAAGTGACTCCACCCATTGAATCAGGATGGCCTGCTGTCCTAAGGGCCATGCTCGCTTCCGCCATCTGGGGCTCTAATTATGTCCCTGCTGCCTCTACCATGCCACATTTTGCAGGAACAAGGACTGAAAGTTAGCTTGGTACCTGTCTGGGGTTTTGTTCTGAGACAGTCCCATTGAGTAGTTGTCATTGGACAAGAACTCGCTATATAAACCAAAGTAACCAAAAACTATCAACTCCCCTGCCTCAACCTCTTGAGGGCTGGGATTACAGGGGTGCATCACCATACCCAGCTGAATCCAGCTGAATCCAGCATAGAGTACATCTAGAGCCAACAACACAAATGTTCTGAGATACGTCCTCCCAGTTTACACATTAGGGAGGTTTGGAACTCAGTAAAAAGGCATAAAAATGCTTTTGTCTCCTGGGGGCTCCTCCTGGAGAGTGAAATTGCAAAGCTGATAAGGGCTAAATCTACTCGTAAGTGCCAGTGTCCGGCACCCAAGAAGTCCGGAGAAGTGCTGGGAGAGGTCATTCTCGTGGCTGAGGTGCCTAGGAGTCAACGCTGGGCTAACAGGACCGGCAGGCTGCGGAGAATTCCTACACTCCAGCGTCCTCGGCCAGCTCAAAGCCCCAGCTTGGGGGGGGGGGGGTGTTATGGTGAAGTTTGAAGGGAACCTTATGTGGACTCCATGGCAGGCGAGGGTGACCGAGGCCGAGGGACAAACACGCCAAGCAGACAAAGCTTAAGTGACACGTTGTATTAGAGAGGGGAGGGAAAGGCAAAAGAAGGGAGGTAAAGAGACACTGAGACGGAAGAGTCAGGAAAGGTCCTGCCTGCCCCCACCCAGCGTTAGGACTGGCGTGCCCTTGACCAGGCTGCCAGGCTGGAAGCTGCTTCCCTGCGGGGACGCTGTCAGTAGCAGTTAATTGACCCGAATTCTGAGCTGGTTTGGGAGAAGGGAGTCAGTGCGCCGCCTATGAGGCACTTCTTACGATGGTGGTGCAGCGACAATTACCTCCCCGGGTACGACAGCTCAGGGAGGGTGATGTGCCAGAGGGTGATGATGACGAACGAAGGGGATCGGGAGGGCTCTGCAGCCCACGTGGCGCGCCCCACCCCCGCCTCGAATTTGCAGTTCTCAAGGCCCTGGCTTCCGCGAGCCCCCCTGCACCGCCAGACCCCAGCCAGGTGCCCCGGGGAGGCCGTGCACAAGTGTTGGGGTGCGGCGTGGGCACCCGTGGGAGCCGCGCCCTCCGTGCCGAGCCCCCCTCCCCGCGCCGGGCGGCCGCTAAGCTGCCCTTTGTCTCCCTGCAGCTCAGCTCCAGACTTCTGCAGAGTCATGGTCACGTGGCGCTCCCGGCACGGGGTGTTCCAGGCTCCACGCCAGGGCCCGGAGACGCCCCCGCTCTGGGCCAGCCTGTGGGGTGCTGTCTGCCTGCCCTACCCTGAGCCCCTGAGCCCCTGGTCCCTGCAGGGCCCATGTCCGGCCGCCAAGCAGCTCAGCCCCGGCTGCAGAGCCTGTAGCGCCCGCTGCCCCAGGCTCCCAGCTGCTGCTTCAGCCTGCTCTGGTTTTTCATCCGGGCGCTGTCTCCTGGGGTCGCCGTCTCCCATCCTACCCCCCACCCCCTTTCATCCCACCCCCACCCCGGCTCCCAGTGCTTATCATCAGCCTTCTCTTGTCTCCAGAAACTCCAGTAACTAGGTGCCACGCAAACCCCAGCTAGCATGGACAAAGGGCGGTTTATTGGCCTGGCCCTCCTCCTCTTTGAAGGACAGAAGCCCAAACCCGGTCCCTTGCCTAGACAGCCTAGCCCATCCAGTAGGCCCACACAGCAACATCACTCCATTCCTCTTGGGAAATGGGAGGCCTTCTGGGGAAGACCTCATTCTCAGAACGTTCCAGAATTCATCCACGGGCCTGGAGAGATAGATAGCTCAGGGGTTCACAGAGAAAACTGCTCTTGCCAGCACCTACATCTGGTGGCTCACACCCCTTCCCCCTAACTCCAGCTCCAGGGTATCTGCTGCCTCTGTCCCCCGAGGACACAGGCACTCTATGCATCACTCCCTACTGTTAGAGTCATGGAGAAAGAAAGCTATTCAAAAGAATCCAGTCAATAGATGTTTACTGAAAGTATACTGTATGCTGGTAAACCAGAGTGTGCTAACCCCCCAAGGAAAGTCAGTCCCTTGTCTAAGGAGGCAGCCCCCCCCCCCAGGCGGCCCTTCATCTCGAACCCGCGGGCCCTTAGCAGTGGAGGGCTGGCAGGGAAACGAAGCTGCCCAAAGCGGGAGGGGAAGCAGAAGTGGCACACTGTGTGCCAAAGGCGGACCGTGTGTCACTGATTCTTCAGGGCGTGATGGGGAAGAGCAGGCAGGTGAATCCCCGGCTGCCACTGTGCCTGTCCACGAGGGGCAGTGGGTGCTTCCTGTAGTGCTGAACCATGGCGGCCACAGAGGGGAAGAGCTGCAGTGAGGGAGGCCGGGCGGGGCGTTGTCCATGGGTCTCCTGAGCTGTGCTCTGCAACAACTTCCTAAAGCGACTGTGGGGCCTGGCAGGGGGCTGCCTGACATTTTTCTAGATGTTTCTCCCAGCTGTGCCGTGAAACTGCAAAGCCGTTTATTTGGCTGCCTGGTTTCAAGCCGGCAACTGTAGGGCATGCTATGATGTTGGCCAGTCCGTGGCTTCCAGAGCTGGGTGGACATTGCCTTAGGTCTAGGTCTCTGCCCTGGTCTTTCTCAGAGGAAGCAGTGTGCTGGGTGACTGAGATGGTCTGAATTGCTGGGGAGAAATTCCTTGGAGATGTTTGCCCCCTCCCGGGAGGCCTCATGACCCTCACCTTCACCCTATGAAGACTGAACCATGGCAGGAGGAAGCATTTCCCCCAGAGCAGGGAGGCTGTCTTTTCACAGGGCCAGATAGATGTCTGGGAAGATGTTCAGGCCTTTCCTTCTGACATACTTGCTGTTTTAGACCAGGCTGCCTCAAACTCAAAGAGAAACCACCTAATCCCGGGTGCTGGGATTAAAAGTGTATGTCGCCGCCACCTAGCTTTATTTTGTTTTTAAACAGGGCCTCACTGTGTAGCTCTAGCTGGCCTGGAACGAAAGAAATCCATCTACTTCTACCTCCCAGTGCTAGGATTAAAGGTGTGTGCCACCATGCCCAGCTACCTTGATTTGGTTTTGGTTTTTTGTTGTTATTGTGTTTTTTAGTTTTTGTTTGTTTGTTTTTTCGAGATAGAGTTTCTCTGTGTGGCTCCTTATAGATCAGGCTGGCCTCAGACTCATGGAGATCCACCTGCCTCTGCTTACCAAGTGCTGGGATTAAAAGTGTGTGCCACCACTGCCAGGCCTAATTTATTTTTTATGGGTATGAGTGTTTTACCTGCATGGGTCTATGTGCATCCCAAGCATGCACTGCCTGCAGAGGCCAGAAGAGGGCAGCAGTGAATCTCTCAGAACTGGGGTTATAGACAATTGTAAGCTGCCATGTGGGTACTGGGAGGGGAGAGCAACTACAGTCCAAACCATTAAGTGCACCTAACCACTGAGCCACCCTTCCAGCCCCTGCCTTGTATTTTTAGGCAAGGCCTCTCACTGGCTCAGAGAGTTCATTATGGAGGCTGGATGGCCAATGGGCCCAAGGTCTGAATACACCTTTCTCTACCTCCCCAGCACCAAGATTATAAACCCAAGCCATCACACTCTATTTACCACATGGGTCCTGGGGGCCAAACTCAGATCCTTACATTGCGAGGCAGAGCTCTCTCAGAGGCCCCTGCCCTCTGCCCTTTCTACTAACCCAGGGTGACGGCCAGAAGCCAAGAGTGTTTTCCCCAGACATACCCCAGACATACTCATGCTCGCTCTTGGCCAGGCCCAGGGTGCTGCACTGTGGCCCACCTTGCTGATTTGGCCCATGACCTCCTCCAGCACCCACCTCCTCATGATTCCTGCCCTCTCGGCCCAGGGCGTAGTGGTGGCCGCCGTCCAGTTGCCGGATGGGAATGTTGAAGACACGGCCTCTGAGCAACACTGCCAGAGTGAAGGGCTGCGAGCTGTGAGGCCCCGAGCTGAGACGCACAGTGTAGGCTCCATCCTGCGGAGGAGCTCCCAGTCATGAGCTTCATCGTCTAAGCACCTAAGCCCAGCTGACCAACCATGGGCCTCCCTGAGCCTCCTTCTGCTGCCAGCTTAACCAGCCACAGCAGTGAATAGAAAGAATTTCAGAGAAGGCCGGGAGCCCACAAATGCCCACCTTTTGGAAGTGAAGCAGGGCTCTCTCGACGGCTTGACGGTCGCAGTTCCCTGAGTACCAAGGCTGACCCAGAAGGCTTCCCTCCTGTACAATACACAGAGCCACTCAGAGATGTGTTCAAGCACTCTGTTGGGGCTGGAGAGCAGAGAACCCTGGTGTACAATTATTTGTGTTTGCCTCTGCCAGTCCCACACTGAGCCCTGCAAGCAAAACCGAGCGGCTGCACACCGTGTTCAGGATGTGTCCCTTGTGGTGCCGGCCCCAGGCCAGGAGGGCTGCTGAGCAAGGACTCCGCTTGCCTCGGGCCTCACCCACAGTCCGTCCCCAGCTTCTGCTCACCTCAGCAGCAAAGGTGCTCAGGGCAGGGACTACACAGGGAGCTGATAGCCTCCTTCCTGCTGGAAGAAGCAAGAAAGAGAGCTGGGAGGAGCTGGATAAGAAGGCTTCGTGGGCAGGCTCCACGTCTAAAGCCTCTCAGGGCTTCCAGTGCTCTCTTTATTCCCAGGCCCAGCACCCCTGGAGGACCCACCAGGCCGTCCTTGCAGGATTTCCAAATGAGAACTGATCTTGGGACACACGCTGGCAGCTTCCCGACTTAGTGCAGTGCCTGGGGAATGAATGCCCAAGAGGGTCATCTCAGGCCTGATCTTGGCAGAAGTCAGAGCTGCAAGGACCCCCTTGATGAAGTGGGGTGGGGCCTGAATACCTAGGGTGTGGCCTGTTGTCTGCAGGGCTGGGGTGTGGGGGGTGAGTGGGATCCTAGCAGAGCAGTCCCATTCAGGCTGAAGATGTACATACTCACCTTTCAATGAGGCATCCACTGCTCCCTGGGACACAGGAGGTCTGGTCAGAGACAGCTGGCCTTCCAGGCTGCTACCCACAGCCTGAAGTCCCACCCTGGCCTCCCTCCCACCCCTCCGGGCTCACTTCCTCCTTGACCACTAGCTTCTTACATTCCAAGTCTCCTGGTGAACAACCATGGGTCTGCAAGGAATAAATTGGGAAGCAGAGCTCAGAGGAGGTTTCTTTGTTTTGTTTTTTAATTTGTTTTTTGTTTTTTGAGACAGAGTTTCTCTGTAGCTTTGGAGCCTGTCCTGGAACTCTCTCTGTAGACCAGGCTGGCCTCGAACTCACAGAAATCCAACTGTCTCTGCCTCCCGAGGGCTGGGATTAAAGGCGTGTGCCACCATTGCCAGCTGTCTTTTTTCTTTTTCTTTTTAATTTTTTTTGAGGGGTTGGAGAGATGGCTTAGAGGCCAAGAGCACTGGTTGCTCTTCTAGAGGTCCTGAGTTCAATTCTGAGCAATCACACGGTGGTCTATAACCATCTGTAATGAGATCTGGTGCCCTCTTCTGGCCTGCATATCATACATGCAGACGAGACACTGTATACATAATGAAAACATAAATCTTAAAAAACAAAAACCTCCTTTTTGAGCAGGGTCTCACTACGCAGCATCAGCTGACCCAGAACTCTCTATGTAAACCACAATGGCCTTGAACTCACAGATATCTGCCTGCCTCTGCCGCCCAAATGCTGCGATTGAAGAAAGTGTTTGCTACCAGGTCTGGCCTCTGGGGCTTCCTTTTGAGTGAACACAGCGCTGTCATTTACCTGGGCAATCCAGATGTTCTTGGCAGAGGGACCGGGGGTATCAGGGCTTTGGAGCTTGGAGTCCTAGTCAAGACTGGAACTAAAACAGAGGACAGGCAGGGTTTGGCTAGGGGCTGGGCAGGAAGTCTAGGCTGAGAACAATCTAGGGATCTATTACTGTTCCCTGGGCCTGGGCTCTCCTGAAGCCCTTCCAGCCACAGGCCTTGGGGCCCTGGCTACATCACCTGAGAAGTTCCCCCCAGCCCTTGCTCTGAGTGTCACCTCTTTGACAGGGACAGTATGTGTCCACCTGGACTAAAGGCAGAAAGAGGATAGCCAGATGGGGTTTGGAAGCGACAGAATGGAGCCAGGAGAGTGTGCTCATGGGTAACAGGGATGGGAGGGGCAGGTGCTTGCTCACGTGGGTCTGGCTCGCACTCCAGGTAGATGTCTTCATCATGTTTCTCTTCAAGGTCTGTTACCTAAGGTTGGGACCATGGGCTTGACTAGCCTTGTAGTCCCTTTTGGGAATGAGAAGTCTATGCCTCAGTTAAGTGAGGAGGGGGACATGAAAGAAGCCACTGATTTGGGGGGTGGTCCAAGGCATCTTCCTCATCTACACAGGAGGGGCCTCTCCTCAGTGACTTCTCTTTTAGAGGTGTCCACTTTTAGGGGAGTGGAGGAGAGGCTCTGGGTGACATCCCCAGGACCACTGGCTTACACCTGTGGGGGAGGGACAGACTCTGCACCAGATGTCCCCTCCACGCCACCTCCAGGCTACCCAGGTGTCATTTCCACTCCTATCGTCCTTCTAGAAAAAATCCCTGACTATAGGATAAAGAAGGAGGCCGCTCACCGCTCTAGCTGCACCTCGCCCTGTAAGGAAAAGGGAGAACCAGCAATCATGAGGGGCCCAGTCACCCTTAGTCACAGAGCTCCTCAGCGCCAGCTTCTGACACCCAGGAGAACACATTTCATTTGCTTGCTTTGCAACCCTGACATGTCACCAGACTTGACCTCTCACTGAATTTGCTAGGCTCAGCTTCAGATAACTTTATGGTAGGAACACAAGACAAAACCCAAACCAATATAGCCACCCTCAAGGTCATGAAGGTTCCCAGCAGCTAAGAAGAATAAGATGGAGGGTGCCACACTCCTTTGACCCCGCACTCGAGAGGCAGAGGCAGGTGGATCTCTGTAAGTTCCAGGCCAGCCTGGTCTACAGAGCGAGTTCCAGGACAGGCTCCAAAGCTACACAGAGAAACCCTGTCTCTAAAAAAAAAAACCAAACCAAAACAAAACACAACAAACGAAAAAAGACGGACTGTGCCTCAGATGAGCTGTTTGACCTGGGGCAGGAGAATGCAAACTCTCCTGCACTGCAACCTGTTTTAGACAGGGATGGTTGGAGCAGTCCATGCTGAGGTGCTTGTGCACTGGGGTCACAGGGCAAGCCTCTGGACAGTGGAGGCAATCATGGCACAAACAGGGCCAGAGCAGAGCGGTCGCTCCAGAGGTCCCCAGTGATGACGATTACCATTCAGAGGTTTCCATAGGGAGGGTCTTAGATTTGACCTCTTCATGCTAGGGTGCCTCTCACAAGATCCAGAGATCAAGCTGCTGAAGACAGGGCCTGGAGGTCAGGGCCTCTGCTTTTGAACTGTCCAGGGTACAGCAGTTCAGATCTCTGGGCCTGCCTCCTCACTGTCTCACAGGTGTTAATGATACTGGTACTGACTGCCTTGTGGGCTTGGAAAGCAAAAATGATGGGTGGTTAGGAGATGGACAGCAAGCCCAAAACTCTAGCCTGTGGAGAGGACGCGCCCCACCATTGCGGAGCCGGGGAAAGGAGGGACCACTCCGCTTTACCTCGCCTTCCAAAACCAGGTTCCTGCTTTGGGGCTGCAGACTGCAGGTTCATTGCTGTCTTCCGCTGTGGGCAAGATGGGGTTAGCCAGGGAGGAGACAAGAGTAAGGTGGCTGGGGTGTGATGGGTAGGGCTGTGTGCCTCTTAAAACCAACACTGACTGTTATCCTGACCACCTGATGTGTAGGAGCAGGAGTTCAAGGCCAGCCTGAGCTCCCTGAGGCCCTCTCTCAACTGCCCCCTCTCCAAACAAACAAATATAAAGCATTGCAACAAGAGATGTGCAGAAGAAGGACAACCCTTCTCTCAGCCTTCACTGGGGCCCTTTACTGTGAATTTTTCCATTTATTTGCTTATATTTATTCTATAAGACACAGAAGCAAAGTGATAGTTTTCAAAACCGATAACCCCGTCTCAGCGGGAAAGGGAGTTAGTTACAAATGACAGCCGACCCCTTTAGCCAGAGAGGGGTCATGTGGCCCAGAGCCTAGGTGAGGGCAAGCTGAACCTAACCCCCAACCCCGGCAGGGAGGGATGGAAGAAAGGAGGGTATGCCTCGTCAAGCAGTGGGTGGATATCGAAGAATTGCAAGGACCGTCTAGGCAAGCGGGAGGAGCTACTGTTGATTGTTTGGCTCTGATTTCGGAAGCACCTGGCACCAGAGGTTTCAGGGCTTCTAGAACACAGATGTGTGTTGGGGTGAGGGACTTGCATATGAGATGTCTGTAAGAGTCACTCACCGGGAAATGGTAGCCTGAGGCAGAGCGGGTAGGATTTGTGGGGAGTCCTCTGGCCATGGTAGGCTGAGACATGGGTGGGGATGCCTTGGATGGACCCAGGGGCCCAGGACGATCTGAAAAAGACTCTGTGCTTTGTGAACTGAGAAGAGGGAGGGAGTTCCTCCCTAGTCTGATCCCAGCTTTCACCGCTCCCCACCTAGCCCCCATCTCTCCCTCCCTCCTCCTGTCCCCTCTACTTATTGGCTTCCTGACAGCCCCGTCTCCATGGCAACTGAGGCAGTCAGCTTCCCTGCCCCCACCCGGCTGAGCGCGGGAGGTGGGGAGTGTGAGAGGTGCCTCGGCCTCTCAGGGCACTCCCACCCTGGCTGGGAAGACGTGGAGAGATTTTAGGGGGGGATGCAAGGCCCTAGGGGCTGGGTCGGGCTTCCTTCCGGCTTTGTGGATGTTGCCTTAGTTACCTCACCACTCCTGCCTCCTTCCATTCTCCTCCTTTTCGGTTTTTTCTCTCCCTCCTTTCCTTCATCCCTTTTTTTGCCCAGCTGAGAGGCCTCAGTGTCAGCCCCTTCCCCACCCCAGCTCAGGGTGAAGGAGAGCAGAGCGCCTCCCTGGACTCCTCCGTTGTTGGGCCCCCTGCCCTGACCCAACCTCCCAGCCTTTCCCTGCTCAGCCCTCACCCAGATACAAGGAGTCCTCTTTAGCGCCAAGCGACTGTGCATGGGCCAGACTGAGGGGCGGAACTTCGCAGGGGGGGCGCTCGTATTTATCCTCTTCTTCTACCTCCTCCTGAGCCTTCAAGAAAGGGTGCTGGTAGGTAGCACAGGGAAGATGGAGGATGGAACATGTCAGGCCCCATAGCAGACGCTACCTCTCTCTACCCCAGCCCCCATCCTGGGCTTACCCTGTGTCTCCAAGTCTCTGGGCCAGGCAGGAAAGATGGGCTCGGTACATTTTCTCTCCAAACTGGGGTGTCTGGGTAGATAGACTGGTTTTGCTTCATCCTACCCACTCTATCTAGCACAAGGCTTTACCCCCTCTCTGGTAAATAATAAACCACCTGCCCTTAACTATGGGCTACAACCCTGCAACCAAAGGAAGCCATAAAAACGCACACATCTAGCGGCAGAGGCAATGAGACAGACAGGTGTGTTGAAACACAGCTACCAGTGGTTCTTGACCCAGGTAAGACAGTCAGGCCTGATCATTAACCCTTGCTGGACAACTGGTGGGAGAGGTTATCTAGAATCACTCAGGGAAGCCCAACTGTGGGGGACCCTGCTCAGCCGGGGCCCTGTGTCCACTGGGTCACTTACCTACACATCTGGCTGATGGCAATGGTGGCCCCAACCTGTAAGCAGATTCTGCTCAGCTCCGCCCAGGGGGCCGTTGGTTGTGTCGGGGTGACACGGCACTCTAGACTGCTCACTATAACTGTGAATGCCCCCTGCAGAAGCTGTGTGGTCTCAGCAGAAGCTGAGATCAGAGTAACAGAAAGGCTGGAGGGAGGGGGCAGAGCCAGGGGCGCACAGCTGGATGGGGTGGCTCCTAGCCAACAGAGCGGAGGCCACGGATGAGCGACGGATGGGATGGTGGATCACATGGGGCAGGAATAGATGCCTCTTGCAGAACAGGAGGGGGGAGTGAAGACAGGGGGGTCAGTGGGAGGAAGGGGGGAGCACTCACCGGGCCTTGCTGCCGCTGAACCTGTCCTGGAAGGAGGTAGAAGGGGAGTAGAGGGGGAGTGGTCAGCACAGCTGGGACTCTCCCTGCCCAGAGCCCTCCTGCATCTCCTGAACAGGTACAGGTGCCTGAGGCTCCCCTGGGACCAAGTCTCACCATAGCAAGGTAGATGAGCTGAGCCCTTTTACCTCTCCAGAGCCTAGGAACTGCCACAAATGTCCTGGGGGACAAGGGTCTATTGTTTCTGTTATTTGCATATTCTAAGTATTGGGAAGGTGTCCACCTCTATCTGTGGTCCCCACCCCAAATAGGCTTTATCTAGGACACTCCCAGCACCCCTCCATAGCTGTGGTCCCCAGCTCTTCTGCTGAGGTAGAAGAAAGACCTAAGATGGACCAGGTTTGTCTCTCTGACAGTATCATGTAACTGGGACCTGTATGGGTAACATGAATGCACAGACCCCTAGCAGTCACTTATTCACCTGCTGGTGGGTGGTTACCACCAGTCAGAGACGTTAAAGGTTAGAGGAAATCTTTATTCTTCAAAGGAGGTGTTTATTAGTCAAGCTGGCTGTGGTGGTGCACACCTTTAATCCCAGCACTCGGGAGGCAGAGGCAGATGGATCTCTGTGAGTTTGAGGTCATCCTGGTCTACCGAGCGAGTTCCAGGACAGCCAGATCTACACAGAGAAACCCTGTCTCTGAAAAATAAAAACAACCAACCAATCAAACAACAAAAATCTATTTGTCAAACATCTACTACACACTGTTCCAGGTGGTGAGGAGGCTACAGAAAATAGACAAGCCTTGCGTGTGCCATTTCCTCACTGGACTCTCAAAATAGCTTCACGATGCCAAGCACTAGTTTTATGTTCATTTCAAATGAAGATGCTGAGTCTATTAGTCACCGCTCACAATACCACACCCAGAGGCTTAAACAACAGAGATTTCATTTCCTCCAAGCTCAAGAGGATAGAAGGCCAAGATTGGGGTTGGTTCTTGGTGTAGACTCCATTTCTGGCTTGGACTCCACTGTCTCTGTGTGTCTCCATGTGGCCTTGTGCCTGTGGGCACAGCAGGAGGCTGAGCTGGGATAATCCCTTCTTACAAAGACACAAGACTACAGGATCAGAGCCTTACTCTCATGGCCCCCAATCTTAATTGCCTCCCTAAAGGCTGCATGTCCACTTACTGCAAGTAGGACTAGAGGTTCAACATAGGAGTCCATAATGTGGAGGCTCAGAGAAGCTGTGCTGTTTCCTGGGCTGGGCCATAGCTCTGTTGATAGCTCCGTTGATAGCACTTGCCTAGCACGCACAGAGCCCTTTGTTTGATCCCCAGCACCCTATGAAAACTGAATGTGGTGGTGGTGCACACCTGTAATCCCAACAAGAAAATTAGAATTCCAGGCCATCTCAGCTGAATATCACATTCAAGCCCAGCTTGGGCTACTTAAGACCCTGTCTCAATAAACAAACAAAAAAACAACAAAAAAAATTTTAAAGCCTTGGAAAGTCACTAGGATAACTCAATGGGGAGCCCAGGTGGTGGGAATAGAGAAGACACAGGATCAAACCCACCTGAAACCAGGCACCCCCTGGCTCAACATCTCCCATATTTGGACCAAGGGTCAAGGGAGCCTCTAGCTTATATAAAAGGAGAGCAAGGTCTGGAATCACTAACTATGGGATCAGGTCTACAAGTCAGACTAATTGGAACATTCTAGATACCACCCCGCCCCAACCTCAACTGAGAATTTCCCAGTGACAGCACTCTGCCACCCTTGTGTCAGCTACCCTTTCCTGCTTAAGCCTTTGCATAGGCAAATTGCAAGGCCTGGGAGCAGGAAAGGGTCACAGGGAGGGTAGAGTCTGTGTTGTCTCCACTGGGACACCAGCTGCACAGAGGTGACGGGGAGGGGACCCGGGAACAAGAGATCTGCTTCAGCAGCCTTGTCAGATGGTGGCTTTGAATGTACAGGCGCGACAGCCCCTCTGGATGGATGAGTTCCTAGGCGGGACTGCAGCGGCTCACATTCTGAAGGTTGGATGCCAGTGTCTGGCAGCACCTCAGCGTCCATTTCATGGTGCTTTCAGAGCACAAAGTGATCCCTCAGATTTCTGAGGTCTCAGCTACCGATCCCCAGTGTGAACAGTCTGTAATTTAGGCCAGGGTAGGCAGTTGACCCTCAGGAAACACAAAGCCAGTTCCTCTACTTGCCCTGTCGCCAGAGAGCTTGTTAAAAAGAAGATCTCAGGTCTCCAGATCCTCTCCAAGACTACAAGAATCAGATGCCCCAGGCAAGAGCAGAGGGTCCACACTATCTACAACGGAGCCCTCTCGTCTGAAGTCAAGTCTGAGGAGTGTTGCTCAGTAGAAATCTGAGCATAGCTTTCTCATACATCATTTTGGAATCACCTATAGCCCTTAGCTCAACGCTAGTACAGGGCTCCCCTGCAGAGACAGAGTGACACAGACCCAGCCCCTGGAGGAGAGCAAAGAGATGGCTAGCTTCTCTGAACTTCTGTGTCCTTTTGTATGGATGGGAACATTAACAGAGCAATCCCAGCTGAGGCAGGAAGATCATGGAGAATTCCCGACCTGCCTGCCCTATATAGTAAATTCACAACAGACTGTGCTACAGTGTGGGATCATATCTCAAAAACAAACAACAGAACCCCAAAGACATCCCTCATTGACAAGGCTTTCAGCTAGCTAATGACATGTGTTAGCTCACCTGAACTCAAGACACCATAGTAGAAGAAGTTGCAGAAAAATGGAGGAGGTGCCTGCGGTGAGTCGAGGTCCCTGGCGTCAGCAGAGGGCAGACAGCGTATGGAAGGCAGGAAGACAGGTCAGCAGGCTGTGGTACAAGGTCTCAGGGAGTGCAGGGCGTGGAACAAACGTCTCTGAGGTTCTGGTGCCTGGGCTCCTGGGAGACTGAAAGGTACTGGAGCCAATCTGCCGGGCTATTGGGCATGCCAGTTACCTGTGTGTGTGTGTGTGTGTGTAGGGGGCAACCGCACTAATAATTTCTCCTTCCATTCACAGAAGTCAGATACCTTCCGAGCCTGCTGTACAGACAGGTGCTTGTATCCTGTCAGCAAGATACCCACCCCATGCTGGGCCTTAAGCCAGAAGTGGGCTCTAAAGAAATGTGCAACAACACCGGCTACCAAGATGGCTCAGAGGTTAAAAGCACCAGCTGCTCCTCCAGAGGTCTTGAGTTCAGTTCCCAGCAACCACATGGTGGCTCACAACCATCTGTAATGAGATCATGGAAGGGAAGAACCAATTCCTGAAAATTGGCCACACACGGGCTACATGGTGTGGCTGGCACGCGCTCACACACACATAATTATGCAACTAATTAAAGTTTTAAAGCAGAGACTGGAGGGATGTCTCAGTGGTTAAGAGCCATGGCTGCTTTTTCAGAGGACCCAGGCTTGGTTCCCGGAATCCACATGGTGGCTGTCATCTGCCTGGAACTTCAGTTCCAGGGGATTTGGTGCTTCTTTCTTGTCTCTGAGGTGGCCCATACTCACACAGGAGCGTACATGCTGGCGCTCTGGCGTGTGTGCGGAGTGCGCGCATACACACACACACACACACACACACACACACACTAAATGTCAGGCCGGAGAGGCAGCCCATCAGGTAAGAGTGGATACTGATCTTCTAGAGGACCTGAGTTTGGTTTCCAGAACCCTCATCAGATGGCTCACAACCACTTTTTAAAAATATTATGTATTTTATGTATATGAGTGTGTTGTCTGCATGTTCATTGGCGTACCAGAAGAGGACATTGGATCCCATGGGACTATAGTTATAGATGCTGTGAACCACCATATGATTGCTGGGATTTGAACTCAGGGCCTCTGGAAGAGCAGCCTGTGCTCTTAACTGCTGAGCGGTCCCTCCAGCCTCAGCAACCACTTCTAATTCTAGCTCCAGGGATCCAATGCCCTCTTCTAGACTGACGGATGGATACACACGCTCTAGACTGACGGATGGATACACACGCACGTACACACAGAGTCTAAAATAATAAAATGAATATTTTTTAAGTCACTCAAGTTGGGCATGGTAGCTCACGCCTTTAATCCCTGCACTTGAGAGACTAAGGCAGAGGCAGGTGGATCTCTGTGAGTTCCAGGCCAGCCTGGTCTACAGAGCGAGTTCCAGGCCAGGCAGGGCCACACAGTGAGACCTTTCTTCAAACAATAGGGAGTATCCCTCCCTGGAGCCCCTCCCACTATTCCGTGTTCTGGGGGAGGGGCCAGGATTTCAAGACAGGGTTTCTCTGTGTAGCTTTGG